AGTTAGGCAATACTATGAGTTTAGTTTTGTGCACCATATTAAATCTACTTATTTTATTCAATCAGAGGAATATTATTATAAATTTACAATAAAATTATATTTTTATTAACCTTTTCCACCATAATAATCAATAAAATACATAAATTCTCTAGCTAACTAGCTGGCCATCCATTTGTTGAAATTTAGACAATATCTCAATTTGTCAAAAAGTTTGGCTGGGGCTATATCAGTTAGATTAATAGCATCAATCATTGTAATATGAATAGAGCAGCGCGTCATTCGTAATTTTCGCTTGGTAGTCGTGTGCCCTGGTCGAAGGAAAGAAAAGAGTCAAAAAGAATAAATTCCTGGCGTTCTTTGCAAGTTAGGTAAAGTCTGATAGATTTTCGTGGACTGTAATGAGTTAGTGGCTTCCATCTCTCGCACCCAAGTCAATTTTGGGCCATTTTTTTTGTCTAATTTTATTCTTTGTCTGATTGATGGATTAGATATGTTTTTGTATATCGATCTGAATGGGACTAAGTTTTCTAAGCACTGATGTTTTATGTGTTTACGTGTTGCTAATATACTTTTTCCTTTAAAAAAAAAGTCTCATAAGTTTTAATGAAAATCTTTTAAAATTGATAAAATTAAGAAAAAAAAAAAGCTATCAGTATATCTAGGATAAGGGAAATTGAAAAAAAAAAAAAAAGAGAATTTTTTTATTTAATTGGAAAAAGGTTGAATCAAATGAGAAAGAAAAAAAAATTCTTTCTACCCAAAATCAAATGAGAAAGAAAAAAAATTTGAAGTGTAACCTGTCCCCCAAATATGAATATGAGACTAGACTCCAGTGGTCAGTGGTCCATCAGCTTAAGTTGAGGTGTTTGAATTTTTTTTTTTTTTTAAAAAAAGAAAGAATAAAAAAATAAGGGGAAGTAAATGATCAACAAACGAACCCTAAAACAAAAGAAAAATTCAACCCCTCAAAAGAAAAGCACCACCAACAAGCCCCCTTTTGGAGGAAGTCAACAAAAGGGGAAAAGTCCAAAACTCCAACTACCTCACTTAAACATTTAAGACTTGAGGTCGAACCATTGAACCAGAAAATCCAATTCGAGGCACTTGAAATTGAAAGTTAGGAATACTACTATACTAATAGTTTTTGAAATTTTATTTCCTTTTCCTTTATAATTGCCCCTGGTTCAAAAAAATGTATGAATATGAAACTACGTTCTACATACATCTTCTTGCAATTATTTCAGGTCAACCTTATAATACCTTTGAACAACCATATAACACAAAGGAAAAGGAGGACTCCCAATATAAAAATTAACAAAACTAGCTTAAAATACAAGAAAGAAATCGAAGTAGTATTTGCCAAGAATAAGGGAAGATGAAGTTTCTGACCATGCTACAGAGGCTTTGACTATTG